GGGCTTGCGCCGCCTCAGTCTCTGGGTCTCGGCCCAGGACCACGGGCGGCCCCGGCCGCTGCGCAGCCCCGCGAGGCTCCTGCACTTCGCGGTGAGGAAGAGGACGAGGCCGTCGGAGGACGACGACGACGACGAAGAAGAAGAGGCGGAGGAGGAAGGCGCCCGGTCCCCGCGTCGCGCCCGCTCCCTGCCCGCCTCCTCCAGCCCCGTCTACAAAGTCCGCATCCCCGTCGGGGCGCCGCCGGGGGAGCCCATCTTCACGGTCCCGGACACCCGCCACCAGGACGCCGGCGGGAGCTGGTTCGAGCTGGACTCCCCCGCGACGTCCGGCTCCTTCCCGGTGGAGTTGGACAGGGGCTCCGGGCGACTGTCCCTCAGCCGGCCGCTGGAGAGGGGAGGCCGGACCGAGGTGACGGTCAAGGTGCATCGGATGGATGGGCCAGGTGAGTCTGACGGGACGGGGGAAGGCCAGAGTGCCTCTGAGCAGGTGCGAAGCGAAATACCACCGAATCTTGGGGTTTACCAGCTCTTCCGATAGGTAGCAACGCACCTGCCTCGTTTGAGCCAAGGTGCTGTAAGAAATGTGCGGCCACAAGCCACTTGCTTTGAAAGAAAAGGGTTCTATGGAGAAGGTCTAGCAGCGAGGGTTGTCCAAGTGGCCCAGAAGGAAACCCACGATCAAAGGCAGTGTGGCAGTCAGGTAATTTTTATACTCTTAAGAAGGCATGGTCTCCCCCCCCTTCCTTCCCTCCATGAGGGGGAACATTTCTTCACTTCAAAAGTTGACAGGGCAGCCCTAGGCAGTGTGGGGGGCTCAACCTGCGTGTCTGCCTCAAGGCACTGTCTGTCTGGCACCCCTGACTTGAGGCAACAAGGTGAGAGTGGTATTGCCTTTAAACCTTGCTATCCTGGAGAAGCTTCTTTCTCGAACTATGACACCTGCAGCCCTCCAGCTAGCAGTAGCTAGAGACCCGGCTGGGAGTTCTGGGGGTTTTCATCTTAAAAACACAAAACACATCTCCCCTCCCAAGATCTGCTTCAGAAGCATTTGGCTGATGGCTACTGTGGAGAAACTGGGTGTAGGATTAGGTTTGGTGTACTTCTGGTTCCTGGGGGTTCTCTGTCCAGTCTGCTGGTGCTCCCTTCCAGACTGTCCGTTCTCTCCCTGTAGTACAGAAAGGTGGCTTTCCTCTAGTGTCCAGCAAAAAAGGGAAGTGCTTGGAGTCCTGCCCATAAGTTGCCACCTGAGCCCCGTGATAACTGTTTGGGGATCTGCCCTGAGTGCTTTGCATGCTGGTGTTCAGCTGGAGACTACTTGTGAGCAAAGATATCCATTTTTTCCTTTGTTGCTTTTATCGCTGCTTCTAAGTGAGGTTTATTGATTTTTATCAGTTTTGTTGTGGCATTGTTGTGTACGTTGTCCAGAGAGTTTCAGTGACAGGACAGCTTGCAAATAATAAAGAGAAATACCTGTATTGGGGCTCAAACTTGGTGCTTTCTGCATGCCAAATGTGGGCTTTGTCCCTTAATAATGCCACCTCTGGTCAATGTGTGTGGCAAGTTGATCCATGAGGAAAGCAGTCAAAGGGCAACATTGTTTTTCCAGTTCTTCCAGCTAGGATGGACAAGCTGTGTGACCATTCAGAGGTAAGCCCCATTATCCCTGGCCATTGGCCATACTGATGGAGTTATAGTTCAAAACATCCCTACCCCAGGTACTGTATCAGTAACACAAATAATTGCAGAGGACACAATTTGAGAGGGGGAGGATGACATCGTTGACAAAACAATATTGGGATGAAGTATCACTGAGGGCTGGCTGGATTACTCGGTGAGTTGGATGCCTGACCACAGAGCCAAAGGTTGGGAGTTCAATCCCCCCAACCCCCCCCCCCCGTGCCTCCCCAGGAGAAGAGCCAGCCTGTGTAGCATTGGGCAAGCTGCGCAATCATGGAGTGCCTCCAGGAGAAGAGAGTGGTAAAACACTTCTGAATACTCTCTACCTGGAAGATCCTGGAAAGGATCACCTTAAGTCAGAATTGACTTGACTTAAATGTTAATTATTAACATTACTCAAGCATGCCTCCAGGAGAAGAGAGTGGTAAAACACTTCTGAATACTCTCTACCTGGAAGATCCTGGAAAGGATCACCTTAAGTCAGGATTGACTTGACTCAAATGTTAATTATTAACATTACTCAAGCAGCAGGAGTTTTTAAGAGAGTTGTGTTAGCTTTCTGTTGTGTCTTTGAAGAGGAACCCTGATGCTTCATCTATTAACTGCCTCCTCTGCATCTTAAACAGTTGTTGGAGATGGTATACTTAGAAAAGAATTTTTAGCCTGAATCCTATTTTTAGCCTCAGCTAGAGCAGACCCATTGACTTAATTGATTATTGAATCAATGCTTACATGCATCCAATTGATTCAGTGGACCTGGTCTAGTTGGGGACTGCCAGTAGGATTCTGGCTAATATGAATAGAAGGCTATGGGGCCAGATTTCAGAGTTTCAGAAAGTTACTTTGTTAGGCTGAATGTCCCAGAATCCTAAAGCCACTATGACCAGTAAGTAGGTCATGCTGAAAGATTATGGAAGCGGTGGTTGCAAAAGCTGACCTTTCAAGCCTGTGTTAAATTCTGCCCCTCGTGTTCTTGGAGTGTTTGCAAATCAGTCAGATCTGTGATGCAAATATTTTCTGTAGATGAAGTTTTCACAAAGGTTTTCTGTCCGTTTGTGTGTCATTTTGCCCAGTCTTCTTCTTTTAAAAAAATAAAAAGCAGCCAGAGGATGCTATAATATTTAGCAAAGCATTGCTGGGTGGAGTGGAAGAGTTCAACCCTTTTGCATTGGACTATGCCTCTACCTGCTAAGGTATAGTCCCTGCCTTTCCCCAGCATGACACAATTTTGAGCTTGCACACATGTATTTTCACACACACACACACACACACACACACACACACACACACACACACCACCCCAATAGAAAGTTTAATGCTTTGTAGTCTCTTCTTTTTCTCCTCTCTCTCCCATCCTCTGCTCAAGTGACCATTTCATTGAAAAGGTAGGGAGAGTTCTTGCCCTTTCAAGAGCCTGAATGAATAATGCTGGCTGGAGGATTCTAAGACTTGTCATCTAAAGAAATCACTTTTCCAAGCACTGGTCCTAAACCACTTGGTTGCAGGTGCCAGATGTCTACGATTTTCTACAGTGTAACATTTGTTTGATAAACTTTTCTCAGCAGTCTGAAGAAGTTAACAGAATCTTAACATTAATTCACAAACCCTTTAAGCTGCGGTTTTTATTATCCTTGGTCAACAAATGCAAAGCGATGGCTTATTTCTTCATGGAACTGTAGGCTGTTTGCAATTTACCATTTGATTTTTTATAAACATTGCTTTATTTAAAACAGACATGGTTAAACAGGTACAATAACATCTTTAGTACTGGTTCGTGCTTGTTTCTTGGCCCATTGCTGATATTGCTTAAATTTCCTGGTTGTGTACTACACACAACATATAAAGAGTGAGCATAGAATTTAGCATCCTGAGAACTTCACCTGGTTCTTTTGCTGCTTTCATTTGAGTAAAAAGTAGGTTTTTAGTACACAGTGATTTTAATATGAAACTACTTATAGAGGCAATGTCTGCAGTGTATCTGCAACCATCTGTATCTGGTTGAGTGGCTTAGTGGGATTGTGACTTTCCAGTGGCCAAGCACCAATGGAATTACTGGCATGGCAGCCCATGGTCTGAACAGGAGAGAGAGCACTCATACTAACCTTGCAATATGGGGTTCCCCCCTGCCTTGATCATAGGATTTTAATGTGTAAAATGTACAGTACTTTGTTGCAAAGATCCTGGACTTCCTTCAGTTGACAGAAACAATGTACATTAGACAAGGAGATGTGCTTCAGATATATTTTCTTTCCATTAATCCTATGGATTGCAGAATTTGAGTTCCTGGACTTTTGTTTAGTTTCATCTTTTCAAAATGATTTTAAAATGAATGCTTCTTTGTTTTTATAATTTGGTTATTTGCTTCTTCCCATTGACTTGACTGGAATTGCACCCTATGTATGCTTGCTTTTGGCTTGCATTAAAGTTGTAGTTTATATAAATATATGGTCTATTTTAATTATGTAATCTCCAAAACACATGAAGTACCCATTTTGAGAGTTGGGTGTGTCATGATTGCTGGAGTGGATTATTTTTGCCCATCTGCTACATTTATTTGCATTTCTAACCAGGCGTATGTCAGATGCCTGAGACTGTTAACTATTAATTGTGTATTTGTTAGGCATCCTCAGAAATATGTTAAAGGATGGGTATTAAAATCAGAAATAAATGACATATCTACAAGAAAGACAGAAGTTTTACTGTTGTGGTGTGGCCATCACAATTTCATTATGTGTCTGTGGTGTTTGAAAATGGCAGGCAGGTGGTCTTCTTCTGAAGAAAGTGTTATTTCTTTAAGATGATAGGCATTTCCAAAGAAATCACTTCAGTAGTCTGTCTCAGCATGTTGGCAAAAATAAAGGGGAAAAAGGAAAGAAAGGAAAAGGAAAAACATTGTAGCACTTTAAGACTGACACATTTGTTTCAGTGTGAGCTTTTGTGGGTCAATATTTGTTTTGTCAGACACTGGAAATGCAAATACAGTACATGTCCCTAATATTTATTCCAGCTGGATGGATAGCTCAGTTGTTTAGGTATTTGGCTACAGAACCAGAAGTTGGGAGTTCAATTTTACCTCAAATATACAAATTAACTAATAATCAGATTTAACACATTTTAAGAAGAGGTACTCCCGGAAGTATTGAAAGGCATCGTTTTGTACCGGAATACTATTGTCCTTAATGACATATCTTGCATTTAGCAGCTTTGTTTTGTAACTGATGACTGAAGGGTAAACATGAGCTTAATTTGCAAGTCTCATTGTCCAGGCAGGTGTCTTTGAGGAAATTGCATTGTAAGGGAGGGCAGCAAGTTAATTAGAAATAATACACCTTATTTTGTCTGTTACATGCTTTCTAATCCATGTTTTATTTTGCAGTTAAGGCCTCTTGGGGTTTTTGTGGGTTGTTTATGTTTGAATTAATATATGACTGTAGTTTTTGTCTTGTTGTAAAGCATCCAGAATAGTGCAGTGTACTAATGGGGCAGTATATAAATGTAAGAAATAAATAAAATTAATAAATAATTGTCTAAATTGAGATGATAGGCCTGGGGAAATATTGGAGCTTATCATTATGGGCTACTCAGCCTTTTGGTTCCGATGCTGTCAGCCACCACCATGGACCATCTCATTAAAAGTCCTCATCTAGACAAGCCACACCTTCAGATTTGTTCTAGTGTAATAAATTCAGATGATTTGAATTTTGCTGGTAGTGGTGAAGGTTCCTGTTGCTTTAACTTGAGAAACCAATGGGGCAATCAGCTGAGT